GAAAGGAAAACTTGAAATCGCATCATATGACCCCTTTAAAGGTTACATATGAATTACAATTCTTTTTGCTGCATCAATTCAAAATCAGGAATTGAACTGCAGTTTAATTCTCAGTTAAATTCTGAATGTGGGTTTGGTTTCACAATCGTTAATGTAGTTTTTCATCTCTGCTCACCTTCTCAGGTTTCATCTTTGAATCAATCCAAGGGACGGAAGCCTCAGAACTCCTCAAATGTTCCTGATCACCGGAAAAACGGCACAAGCACCGAAGCATCAGAGCTGGATAACTTTAGGTGCACATGCTATCTGCTCATTTTGCTCTTATTCTCTTGCATTTTTTTAACCAACGTTCGTGTCATTAACAGCGTGACCTACAGAAATCAGAGGTGTTTTAGTGACCAGCCACATCACAGACTGTTCCTGGACATCTTCACTGCCTTGATCAATAACAGACTCGGTTGTAGGTCTGTATTTATGAGTATGATGCTGATGATGCATGCCAGTTATGGATCACTATAGACCAGTCTTATTTGTTTTTAGCAACTGGCTGGAAAATTCCTCCTCAGACAACATCCTAAGAGTTTTAAACTGCTTGAGATTGTTGATCAGGGATCCTCTTCACCAGGTGAGATCCAAAATCTCAATTTAATATTATCTTAAAAATCATTCACTTTTAGAAAAGTCTGTAAAAATGTGAACCAATGTACAACATTGTAAATAGGCTAATATGAAGAAATGATCCGTATAAGTTATTTAACTGAGTAATAAATTACATTAAAATTAAGATTAAATACATTATAAATATAAGTTCGTATTTTTGCAATGCAGCAACATGAACCAATTCTTTTTTAAAGACAATATATAAAATATATATTGTATAAAATGTAAAATAGAAAGGCAGATCCACCTGATTGTAAATATTAACATACTATATACACAGTTGGTCTAATAACATATTATAAAAATAGTATAGAATGAAGCATTAGTATCATTATATATAGTTTAACAGCATAATTAGTGTTAATCTTCTGTAGTGTGTTATTATATTATTTGATGCATTTATATTGGTAAGACGTTACAATAAGGTTATATATATATAT